TCATTTGTTCACACATAAATAGATCTGAATATAAAATGCCTAATACATACAACGATGTTGAAAAAGGCTCAGCTACAAGTCAGTCATACACCACACGAGCACGCCTGATTGGTGCTTGATCGGCTGACCCGAGGCGGAGCGGAGGGAGGACCCAGAGAACCTGCAGGACAGAGAGGAGGATGGAGAGCCACCTGGAGATGTGGTTCGGGGGCTTGCAGGCCAAGAACTCCTGCAAGGAGGCTCTGTTGCTGGCACTGCTTCTGCAGCATTGTCAAGAACCCTAAGCGTCGCTTCCGCTTCATCGCCGACATCGAGAAGCGTAGCAAGATGGAGGCCACCAAGCACGACGTGCATCCTCCGTTGCTGCCGCTTAGTTCCACCGGGATCCGCGGCAAGGCAAGCCGTGGGATTTGGACCTAGGCGATGAGCAATGGGGATGGTGTTGCGGTAGGGACACGGGGAGCGGCAGCGTGTGCTGCCGTAGGGTGCGGGGATGGGTAGCGGCGTGCGCGGCGGCGGCCCTGCGTGATTGGAGCAGGATCCTGGGAGGGGATAGGGAGTGATTGGAGGAGATGGGTCGCAGGAGCGGGTCTCACGGACTAATCGTGAGGACTTTTTTCCATCCTTAGGAATGGCACTACTGGTTTCTTAGTTTTGTACGTGTACCTACGTATTTGCCATTGTAAATAGTAATCTTTCTACGTTTTTATTATTTTTGCTGAGATGGACACGCCAGCGTGGCAGGAAGCCTGGGAGCCCTAACTTGGCACGCAAAATGATCACGCTGCCCTCGCCTTCTTCTTTTGTCTCCAGCCGGCCTAGTCCCGAGTCAATCCTAGTCCACTCCCCCTTCTTCCCCACTCCTAGCGTCGGCGACGGTGGGTGTGGTGGACGTGGCGGCGGCGGCTGTGGTGGACGCAGCGGCGGCATTGACTCTCCTTCCTCTTCCTTGGACGCACGACGCCATACTAGGTACTGCCCGCACTCCCCTAAACCCTATTTCCCCAGTTGCGTTCCCCAATCTAGGGTTTTGATTTGATTCGGTTTTGATTTGATTGGTGGTCCATTTGATTGTAGTGACATTGCGGTAGCCCTTATTGTTGATCGTATGCGTTAAGATGAAGTGGACTAACTACCCTCCTTGGTAAGTTCGATGTGCTGTAGTGTTTGGTCTAGTTTTTGGGATCCCGTAGTATTTTGGAGTTGGATGTCTCCTAACTCCACATGTTTGTTTATTTGTTTATGATTATTGTTAGGATTGATCCTGGCAATGCGTTTAGAATCCACGTTAGCGTTGCTAAGTACACAACCAATGTTGATTATGGATCTGTCGAAATGGATGACCAAGAGCATGATGTTTGGATTGAATCCACATTAGCGTTGCTAAGTGCATAGATGCCTGCAAGGGTCTAGAGGTTGCAGTTAAACAGGTATTCCCAAGAGCAGAGCAGAGGGAATGATTTAAGCATTTGATGGACAACATGAAGAAAAAGGTTTTCTCAAGGACAGGGTAGTGGTTCATTGTTGGGTCAGTACATATGACCAGCAGCTAGAGCTTACACAAAAAACTATGAGAGGCTCATGGCCAAGGTTGTTGCAGGATCAGCAGACATCTTACCTTGGCTAAATGAGCATCACAAGTTACTCTGGGCTAGAAGCAAATTCTCAGCAGACATTAAGTGTGACTACATAAACAATAATCTTGCTGAGTGCTGGAATGCTTGATCAAAGAGCTCAAAGACCTGCCACTGGACTCCCTTGCAGATGCAATTAGGATCAAGACAATGGTCTTGTTTGAGAAAAGAAGGAAGATCTCACTAGCTTTGACTGGTGGCATCCTTCCTGCTGTCATTCACTGGCTAAATGCTGCCACCAAGGGACTAGATCATCTCCAGGTGACTAAAGGGAACTCCCAAGAAGCTGAAGTGGCTATGATGTACATGGGTGAGGAGATCAAAAGGCATGTTATCTACCTAGATCTGTAGGAGTGTACATGTAGGGGGTGGCAGGTCAGTGGCAAGCCATGCCCACATGCCCTTGCTGTGATCACCACTAAAAGGTAGCCAGACATGGAAAAGTATGTCAATGGGTACTACTCAGTGAAGAAGGTGTAGGCAGCTTATGCAGGTGTGATACCCAGCATAACTGACAAGCAACAATGGCCTATAGTTAACAAGGGCTTCAAAGTGTTTCCACCAGTAGCCAAGAAAAAGAAAGGACCTAAGAGACAAAGGAAGAATAGGATTCTTAGCAATTTGGAGAGGACAGGGAAAGCAACAAGGCAAGTGACAAGTAAGAGTTGTGGTGAGCTTGGCTACAGAGCCACCAACTGGAGGTGTCCACTAAAAGGCACCAAAAGAAGGTATGTTTCTTTTGCAATTTCATCAGTTATTGTTACACTAATCTATCTAAGTTACTAACACATCATGTATAGGAAGTGGACCAAGAAGAAAACCACTCAGTCTGGAAGGAAGAAGCAGAAACCTAATGAGGGTGAACCAGCAAAGGAGGGAGAGGAAACGTCAGCTCCCACTACTAAGGCAGCAACAACAAAGACTACAAAGAAGAAGAAGAAAACTGCGGACAAAGAAACAACTAAGGAGGGAGAGGTAGCAACAAAGGAACCTGCAACAACACCAAGGACACCAAGGACCAGAGCAGCAGCAGCAAGGGAGGCAGCAGCTAAGCAATCACATGAAGAAGGAGCTGTAGGCCAAGCTGTGAAAGGATTAGCAGTGCAGGTGGATCAAGCACTAGGCAGCAAAAGGTTTGTTACTTCCATTTATATCAACCAACCACTAATGTACTGTGAGATGCACAAGCAACTAACTAGTTATTCACTTGTAGGAGGCTGGACTTGAATGAACCAGTGCCACTGGAGATAGTACCAGGAGATGAAGATACAGTAGTGCAACCAGCCAAAAAATGACCCCAAGGAAGAAACAACTAGCTACTAAGGTGAAGAAGGCAACACCAACAAAGGTTGGCAACTAAGGCATAACCACTGTTTGAATGGCTATTATTTTGTATGTATTTTGGAGACAGGATCTCCTATGACCAATTATGTATGGCTGTCCTGGACATGTTATGTATGGGATGGACCAGTTATGTATGGTTGTCATTGCCAGTATGGACCTGTTATGTATGGCTCTCATGTGTCAGTATGGACCTATAATTTATGGCTGTCACTGCCAGTATGAACATGTTATGTATGGACCAGTTGTGTATGGCAACTGCTGAACCTAATAATGGATTAGCTTGGTATGCAAATTTCTGTCAGTTTCATCTTCTTGTTGGCTGTCATGGAATTTTTTGTTGTTATCGTGACAAAAGAACCATTTGATGCAACATACAATAGGCAACACAATAAGATAGCATTTCCATTGCATTAACATGTTCATCATACATTTTCCTACTACTGAGAACAACCATTCACTTGAACATATACATTATGGCAACAATGCATACAACAAATAACACTAAAATCAACATCTTAAGTAAAGAAATCAGGGCATCCATCTTGACTTCCATGCTGTTCTTCGCAGCACACTTTGACTGTGCTTCTTCTTCACCAAATCCCCTAGCTTCTTCTACTTCTTCTGCACCCAGGCCAGCTTCAAGATCAATGACAACAAACTTCAACTCCACCAGCTTCTTCAAGTACGCTTTCTAGAATTCATAAAACCTACATCTACCAGGCATCTGCAAAATGCCCAACAGTTAGGGTTCTTCAACCAAAACCAAAACCAAGAAAAATTCAAAATGGAACAAGAAAAACCCTTACCCCGGACACATTTCTGGGACACTTGAAGAACACGAGACCCTGGTTGCCGTTCTCCGTTGTCCTCATTAAGAGCTCGATTACCCTCTCTCTTGCATGTGGGACACACGATCAGTGGGAGCCCAGTCTCCTTCTCGGTGTCTTCCTCCTCGATAGCCCATGGCGCCATGCTCCTTGACGAAGAGGGCTCTGTCCTCCGAGCCATGGGGTGCATGGGGGAGGAGGATCAGCTGTCGCCGTCGCAAGGGAAGAGAATGGGTGAGAGGGGGAAGAATGGATGCGGCTGCTGGAGTGGGGAAGAAGGGGGAGTGGACTGGGTTTGACTCGGGGCTGGGCCGGCTGGAGACAAAAGAAGGAGGCGAGGGCAGCGTGGTCATTTCGCGTGCCAAGTTAGGGCTCCTAGGCTCCCTGCTACGCTGGCGTGCCCATCTGGCGTGCCACCTCAGCAGAAATGGCAAAAACGTAGGAGGATTACTGTTTGTGATGGCAAATATGTAGGGACGCGCACAAAGCTGGCAAACGAAGGAGTGTCATCCGTAAGGATGGCAAAAAGTTAAAAATCCCGATCGCGGGGGAGCGACGGGATGACGGTTTCCTTTTCTGGGCCAACTATCGCACGGGGGAAGCGAGGTGAAAGCAGGCGGGGATTGCTGGGGGCGGACCGACGAGGCGAGACGACGATTGTCGCACGAAAAGTTGTCCACTCTTTAGTCTTTTTCAGCCTGTTCGGCTGGGGCTGAAACGATCGTATACGATCGTGGATTATTACTGCTGCCTGATTTGGTGTGAGAGAAAAATATTGTTCCAGCTAAAAATTTACGATCGCTTATGACAAACGAACATGCTGTTTAGGTGTGAGAAGATTTCTCCACCAGGCCATGTGAGCTAGCGATTCGTGCAAGTTGTTGAGGACACCCTTAAATAATCTTCGACACCTAATCCAACAAGAAGATACTAGCACTGAATTCAATGTACAGGAACTTAAGAAAATCGAGTCAACTCTGCGTTATCGTAAAATATTCGTGTCAGCTGAAGTCGTCAAGAACTAAAAGCTGGCATAGTGGCATTCCAAACTCCAACAAAGCTGTCCTCATTTTCCTCTCCAGCTGCCCTCCTCCCCACAATCTAATACCAATAAGCACGGTGGTCTCATCTTTGAAGCACGGTGCTGAAGTTATCACCTCAGGCCGTCACAACATCTATCCTCTCCAGTCTCCACATGGAGCTATCAGCAGGGGCGGCCGTTTTCGCCGTGGTGCTCACCACCGTCCTGTACCTCGGAGTTGTCCACGCACGCAGGCGCCGGCCGTGCAACAGCCTGCCGGGCCCCAAGCCGTGGCCGATCATCGGCAACTTCAACCTCCTCGGCGCGCTCCCGCACCGCTCCCTCGACGCGCTGTCCAAGCGCCACGGCCCGCTGATGCGCGTGCAGTTCGGCTCCTTCCCCGTCGTCATCGCGTCGTCCGTCGACATGGCCAAGTTCTTCCTCAAGACCCACGACTCGGTGTTCATCGACCGGCCGAAAATGGCGGCGGGCAAGTACACGACCTACAACTACTCCAACATCGCCTGGAGCCCCTACGGCGCCTACTGGCGGCAGGCGCGCAAGATCTGCGCGGACGAGCTCTTCAGCGCGAGGCGGCTAGAGTCCTTCGAGCACGTTCGCCGGGAGGAGGTGCACGCGCTGCTGCGCGCCCTGCACGGGACGGCGGGGCAGGTCGTTCCGCTCAAGGAGTGCCTGTCCACGATGAGCCTGAACATCATCACCCGCATGGTTCTGGGCAGGAAGTGCGTGGACAAGGAGGTGGTCGCCAGTGGCGGGGGATCCGTGACGACGTGGAAGGAGTTCAGGTGGATGCTTGACGAGCTGTTCTTGCTCAACGGTGTGCTCAACATCGGGGACTGGATCCCTTGGCTGTCCTGGCTGGACCTGCAGGGCTACGTCAGGAGGATGAAGAGGGTGGGCAGGATGTTCAACCAATTCATGGAGAACGTGGTGGTGGAGCACAACGAGCGGCGTCTGCGCGAGGGAGACGCCTTCGTGCCGCAGGACATGGTCGACAGGCTGCTTCAGCTCGCCGACGATCCCAGCCTCGACGTCAAGCTCACTCGAGACAGCGTTAAAGCCTTCACTCAGGTTTATTGTCTCTGTACCCGAAAAATCCTAATGCTGAATTGCTGATCCGTAACAAAAGTGCTCAGCATGCCTACATGCTTGGATTCGATGGCACAGGATCTCGTCGCCGGGGGCACAGAGAGCGCCGCGGTAATCGTCGAGTGGGCCATCTCAGAGCTCCTGAAGAATCCCGACGTCTTCGCCAAGGCCACCGAGGAGCTGGACAGCGTCATCGGCCGCGACCGCTGGGTCACGGAGAAGGACATCCCTCACCTCCCGTACATGGACGCCATCGTCAAGGAGACCATGCGCTTGCATATGGTCGTCCCCCTGCTGTCGCCGCGCTTGTCTCGCGAGGACACGTCCGTGGGCGGATACGACATCCCCGCGGGCACGCGCGTGCTCATCAACGCGTGGACCATCAGCCGCGACCCGCGCTTGTGGGAGGCGCCCGAGGAGTTCCGGCCGAAGCGGTTCGTCGGGAGCAAGATCGACGTCAAGGGCCAGGACTTCGAGCTGCTCCCATTCGGTTCCGGCCGACGGATGTGCCCCGGTTACAGCCTCGGGCTGAAGGTGATCCAGGTGATCCTCGTCAACCTGTTGCACGGGTTTGCGTGGAGGCTACCGGATGGCATGACAAAGGAAGAGCTGAGCATGGAGGAAGTCTTCGGCCTATCCACGCCGCGCAAGTTCCCGCTCCAGGCCGTCGTCGAGCCCAAGCTCCCGGCCCGCCTGTACACTGCTTGATGACCTCGAATCCCATTTGCCTGGGTTACAAGGTGGTTCTGTCGAGGCCCCAGTTTGCCGAGTTACCGCTGTCCGCTGCAACCTATATCTCGGATGCCTGGAGGCTGGAGCCCAGGCGACCAGCTAGCTTTCTCCGTTTCTCATGCTGTGCTATATTTTTTCGAACAACGTCCCATATTTTGGCGATCTTGATAAACGCTAGCCATAATCTATAAAATGAAATCGAAAAGTATAAAAAACCTTATCTTATCTTACTATTACTAATTAGAGGCCCCCAACAAAGTCTTTAATTTGGCAGACTCTAATCATCATCTCTGATAATAGCCATTGAATCTATTGTAATTTTATAAAAAAATTACCCACCTTTGCCATTACGATAGATAATTCAAAATAACCCCCTAAATTTATATATATAAATTACCACACTTGTCATTATGAAAAATATTTCAAAATACCCCCTAAATTTGTATCTAAATTACCCACTTTGCCATTATGAAACATAATTCCTAATAACCCTCTCATATTCCATCTAAATTACCCCACCTCGCTCAAATCTATATGTAAATGCTAATATATGCTATTACAAAAAAATATCCATAAAGTACTAGACATATATATTTTTAAATTATAAGCTTCCACAACTGTGAAATAATGCTATGTTTGACCATCTATACCAAGTAATCATATATATACATTAGGATAATTATTTATTTTAATAGCTTATCAGCATAGAAAATGTTTAATGAACGAACCACATAGCAATAATATAACATCGACAATTCACTTTAAATTATACAATTGTGAAATTAAATAACCTTAACCCTATGTTTGACCATCTATGCCAAGTAAACATATATATATTAGGGTAATTATTTATTGCAATAGCTTATAATCATGGAAAATGTTTAATTAACAAACCACATAGCCATAACATAGCACCAATAATTCACTTTAAATTATATTAATACTCTATAATAATTAATTTCATAAGTTGTTATTTAAATAATTGTATATATTTTAAGTGAAACATTATGTCATATCAATATTGGTAATATAATTTTCAGCACTCTATGATATATAAAACAATACTGCAGACATATAATTTTGTGGTATAATAAATTCAACAAGCTCGGTGCTAAGTTGTAATCTGAGTTTCAACTTAATTAACATGCGAAAAAATAAAACTACTATGACCTAAACTCTTTTTAATAAAAATATATTTTGAAAAGCATTAGAGTTTCTACTTAATATGTGGAAAAAATTGCACAACTTGATTAAAAGTCAAAAGCTAAACTATAATTTGTAAAGTCACAGGAAGGGATGCAACGAGATTTTATATATCTTAAGACGATTAGATTTCAACAAGTGCATATCACCTACAAAAAAAAAGATAAATATTAGAAATGCTAACTAGAGGTCCTTAATGGAGCTTTCACTTTAATCCTCACGAGACACAATAGGAAAAAAATCTAGAAATTCATACAAAAATCTAAAACATTTGACCATCAATTGGGTATAATCTAATCACCATTTATAATAATAAGTATTTGATATATTCTAATTTCTAAATAATTACCCACCTCCGCTGTTGCATAAAACAACGTAAAATAACTCATGACTCTATATTTAAACTACCCACATAAACGATTAAGAAACATGATCTAAAACAGACCTAAATTTGCATCTAATTACCCATGTATTCCTATTACAATAGATAACTTATGTAACCCAATTTTCATCTTATTATTAAAATTAAATAAATTTTCTCTCAAATATACATATAAAAGATAATCAATATCCCCTATTAAAATTTGTTTAAATAACCATAGAGCAGGTATATTAGTTCATTACCCACTTCTATCATTGTTAATATATTAAAGATTTGACTAATTAAGCATACATGTTGTGTCGGCATACATGAGCAATAAATATATATGTTATGTTTCATAAAAAAAATGTTTCCTTAACAACTCATATACTAATGATACTAACAAAATTTTAAAAACCATATTAGTAACCATGACATAATTTATATAGGTTGTTGCTTTAGATATATTTATATATTTTAACTAAATGTTTGACACGTTTATATTGATAGTATAATCATAACTGCATATGTAATTCCTTGACAGCAAAATTCAATCATCTTTAGAATTTTGTGAGACTACTTGTGGCTATATTTTTTGGACCTTTAACATTGCTTTAGAGTAAAAATTCTATCATTATAAGGTTTAAGATTTAAAATTCTCTTGAGGTTAGCACTGATAACCGCATCCGAGATCTCATTTCAAGCTTTATCACTTATCTTAGGTGATATGATGCAAGTTTCAAATGATTGGGTATGCTTTTGTAGTATTTAAGATTGTACTCTACTACCTAAAATCCTTATTTTAAAACAGTGCAAAATGAGAGTTAGTAAAAGATACAATAAGCACAAGTGTTTCAACTTGAGGAAAAAAAATTTGTATCAGTCAATAAAAATCGAATTTGAAAAATAAAAAATTAGATTCATGACTTCATAGAATATGTGATGCAACAAGGGCAACAATAGTTAATGGTGAGGTGTCAAACTAACTGCATATTAAAATATACATAGGTGCCGTGCAAATTAAAAATATGAATATGGAACAACATCCTCGTCTCAGATTGTTGTAGCAGCCTCATCCTTTGCTGGTGTGCTGGGCCTGATGGATTACGTCGCTATGTTATCTGCAATCCGGTGACCCACAAATGGCATGTACTGTCACGTAGCATCCGTTCTGTTGGTCAGGCTCGCTTAGGTTTTGACCCAACATCCTCGCACTTCCATGTGATTGAATTTATTGAGGTGGAGGGTGCGTGCAGAGGTGTGGAGATCTACTCATCTAAAACTACAGCATGGATCTTTAAGGAATCTAAATGAGGCGAGGGTAGTATTGTTCTACGTTCAAAAACGAGAAATGTTTTTCATAACGATTTTATGCACATGCTTGAGTACTCTACAATAGTTGTTGTGGATATGGAGAAAAGACATGGAGGACAATTCATAAACCAGGTGGTGTTAAAATGTCCATCTATCAAGCTCAGGGTCACATATGTGTGTGCTGTGCTAATTTTCGCTATAGGTCTTTGCTTTTAGTATGAATACTTGAAGACTATGGTACTGATAACTAGAGTTTGAAGCATATTGTGGACACGGAGGAATTGTTTGGACGCATAAATATTAAAGTTGGTTCTGAGCTTTGTGATGAGGAGTACATAGTGATTACAGTTCACCCAAAATGGAATTTTATTTTCCTTGTTGGGAAGCATAGAACATTGATTGCATATAACATGGACCATAGAAAGGTTCATGTCATCCATGCCCGTGTCATCCACTTTTGTAGATCAAAGGGCGTTTCCATATGAACATGCCTTATTATCTTTCTTATGTTTCCTTATTCATGAAGTTATTAGCAGAGCAGTAAAGGTGTATGTCCTGCATTTCGTCGTCACGATAGTCTTTGTTCAGGTAGGCAGTTGTTTTCATTCTATGTATGTATAAGCCAATTTTGGCTTGTTAACTAAAGGAATGGTATGTTTAATATTATTAATTCTGCTGCTTTGTTTAGGTTATGGATCAGAGATGAATAAGAGAGGTTCCATGATGCATTGGCTACCAATCCGAATGATGCACTAATTATATTCATTCTTCCTTACAAGCTGGAGTGCCACATAGAAGGAGCATAGCTACGTCGTTTCATTATGTAAGTATGTATACATCAGCACCTTTAGTATGCTCTATATACAGCTTATGTTAGGACATCAATTGAGAAAGATGTTATGGTAGCGTCCATTGTTATTGTAAAAAGTACTCTTGTTTGTGAACATGATTTATGGATATAATGATTATATATATGTATGCTTTGTGTTCATGAAGCTATTAAGGGCCTAGCTGAATTAGTAACTATTGTGAAAACAGATGAAATTATGTCACTGTTGATATACTTATGATGCGGCAGGGATCAAAAGTATATCACCATCGAATCCTTTAGTAACCCGACACCGACTAAACGATCATCAAAGGCGGATCGTGGTGCTAGGCGATGGTGACCATGACCTTTGTACTGACGGATCATACGCTGAAGCGATAGTGGTGTTAACCTCTATACAGGCGTCTCGGCCGTCGAACCGATAGTGAACCTGCACCGCTGACGGTCGGGTCGAAGTACAAGGCGACGGTGCTAGTGACCACTACACAGGCGGTAGAATGGCCCACACGATGGTTTTGATAGCCTCGACGTAGTCAGATCATTTGCCAATGCGGCGGTGTTAGTGTACATCCACAGCCAGATCATCCTCCAATACGACTAAAGTAAGGACCTAATCACAGACGGATCATAAGCCAATCGATGGTGTTAGTGTACACCACAGTCGGTCCTAGATGTCGACGGTGAAGGCTACGACCATCACTGTCGACAGCTTACTACCGAGGCCAAAATTGGACTGCGATGTGGGTTATGACGCTGCTGTGAAAGATGCGAGTGTAGTAGTGTGGATGTCTTGCATATGTTGAGATAGAACTTAACATGACGTGGATAGCTTGCATTTAAGAGGTTGGAAGTTTGTGGCATTACATGTCTATTAGTGTAAGATGATATGGATGTCTTGCATGTTGAGATAGAACTTGAGATAACATGGATAGCTTGTATTAAGAGGTTGGAAGTTAGTGGCATGACATGTGTATTAGACAAGATGATGTGTATGTCTTTGCATGTTGAGATAGAACTTGAAATGACATGGATAGCCTGCATTAAGAGGTTGGATGTTAGTGGCATGACATGGCTATTAGTGGAAGATGATGTGTATGTCTTTGCATGTTGAGATAGAACTTGAAATGGCGTGGATAGCTTGCATTAAGAGGTTGAAAGTTAGTGGCACGACATGACTATTAGTGAAAGATGATGTGTATGTCTTTGTATGTGAGATAGAACTTGAAATGACGTGGATAGTTTGCATTAAGAGGTTAGAAGTTAGTGGCA